GAAGTGCGGGCATGTGCTCTCCAAGTGCCAACTGTACAGCCCTCTGCATGACTGTACGTTTTCATACACCGGGAGCCCCACAGCTGTACAGGCTGCCCCTCCAGCCCTGGGCCTTTCCAGGAACCAGGAGCACCCGGACCAGGAGGGGCAGGTGCTTGTTGCCAATGCACTTGTCCTGGGTTTTGGGCAGCTCTGGACTCGCGAGGGGGTTGGGGCTGGGGGCCGTGCTAGTCCCCTGGGAGGAAGCGACCCCTGGTGTGGGGCAGGTACCCCCACACACACCCTGACCACATGGAGGGGTGCTGAGGGGCTCAAAGAGAAGGCACCCTCCCCTGTCAAGGACCTCAGGTGTCGCTGGCAGCCCAGGCTGGCCCGGGGTGACCCTGGTCTCCTGGAAAGTGGGCGCTGAAAGCATTTACACTCCGCATGTCACACTCAGTCCTTCCTAAAATCGGGGTGCATAGGGCACCCTCACTCTCTTCACACACCAAAGTGGGAGGGACCTCGAGCCCACGTCACCTGCCTGCGGGACAGAGGACAGCCTTCCATCCGGCTGGGAGGCCAGACCTGCCGGGGCGTCCTGCCGCTGGTGACAGCTGTGGGAGCCCTGAGCCCAGGCTCCCGCTATGGCCTCCCGCCGCCCTCGTACACGTCACGACCACAACTCTTCAGGGATGAGTCCTCGTCCATGTCACCCTCCCGGTTTCAGCAGGTACTGCCCATCGTTAAATAGACTTCTCAAAGACGACAGAGTTTGCACTTGGCTAGGACAGAACTCGAGTCCTAACACGGCTCACGCTAACTTATGGCTTCTCTCCACAGCGAGCTCGGAGGAATCCCGTCAACTAAGCAACTTTCCGATAACCAAGTCACTGCAGAGGCAACCCTTCTGATGGCAGCAGTTTCCCGAAAACCCTCGCAGAAGCAGCGTACATAAGGCCTGTGTGTGACCGGGCCTGGAGCAGAGACCTGGCGTGCGTCCGAGGCCCCTCGTTTACAGGGTGTGTGGCCTTGGGCACAGGATTGAACCTCTGAGTCTCAGCTTGTGCAAATGAGCAACGGTGACATCACTTGGGCAGCCACAGGATGAGAGCTGGGGTGACCTATTACCGACAACCGCCCCGCTCCCTGCCCAGCCTGGCTTTCAAGGTGAGAAGGCCGAGGGCCACAAGGGAGGGGCCCCAGGTCACATGCCCGGGGAGGGCGGGGGGCCGCATCTGTCCATGGCGTCTCTCCAGCTTGGACGGGGACAGACATGGCTGCTGACAAAACCCTGCCCCTGGCCCAGGGCCTCCCCCAGCCTCTGCGTGCAGCGCCCGCCTGTGCCCACCTAAGGGGCGCTGAGAAGGGGAACTCACCGGTGTAGACAAACCGCCCCGGAGCGCCTTTACAGAACTGCTTGGACTTGTAGGACAGGGTGACCTCCACAACGCCAGGAATGTGCCGCGGCGGGGTCTGGACTCGGATGGCGTGGGGCGTGATCAGCTACAAAAACCACACGGTGAGCAGGCTTTCAGGGCGCTGCTCGTGAGAGGGGACACCCGCCGGTTAGACGTAATTACCAAAATGAGCAAAATTGGACCATCGTCTGGGAGCGCCCCCGCCTAGCTGTCACCGGGGAGGCGGGGCCTCGAGCTCTTTACGGAAAAGATCTGCAAACGGTCCCGGGTTTGCGTTGGCAGGAAAGGCCACAGGGCATCATTCACATGAAAATTGCCACCATATGTCCCCTGAAACCTGCTCCTGGCGATGCAGGCACTGATTGTTCCAGTGTAGGGGGGACCTCCTACGACAGGGCTGGCACCCCAGGGCTGGGCGGGGGCGTTCTGCACCCACCCACCGGGGAGCGTCAGTGAAAGGGGAATTTGCCACAGGGCGCCTCGTGTCTGTGCCGTCACGCCCCCCGCCCCCCCCTCCCCGTGGAAAAGCTCCCGCTGAGTGCCCGCGGCCCAGGCTCACCTCGCTCCATACCAGCATCGTCCCGAACACCACCTGTAGGCCGTCAAAGAAGTTGTCCCCGATGATGATGACGGTGGCGCCGCCTGTGGTCCAGCCTTCACTGGGACTGATGGCCTT